CACCTTGCTAACGGTAGTCGAAACAGGGAGACGAGAAGACGAAAATCAAGAGTGCAAGGACAACATACAGGAAAGCAGCGATGTGTGCCTCTTGGGGTCCGCTTAAGGGTCGTCTTGGTGGCGCCCGAGGCCGCCTTGGGGCCGTCCGTCTTCTGGCGGCGGTCTATAGGCCTAATCGAGACCTGCGGCCGTCGTGCACCATCCAGTACAGTATTGCAGGGATCGACCGAAACAGTGTTGTTCGCTTTCGGTTTGTTGTCGTTTTCCATCGTTTTGTCGTCGCTTAGCCTGCGCTGCAAGACAAAATCGAAATGAAAACCGTTCACACAATCGCCAAAACACCGTTAAGGTCCAGTCTTGCAATTTTGTACCAGTTGGGACATCACCTAAAGGCCCGGCGACCCGCCTCTTGCCGTCCGAAAGCTTCTCCTGGGGTCCGCCCGCACCATACGGGATCCGCCTGTCGGCTGAAGGGGGTTGACCAAGAACCAGCAGAGCGCCCCAGGGGGTCGAAGATGGCCCGAAGTTGGTCTCATATAACCCAAGGTGCCCCCCGTGATGGCACAAGACAGCTCAAGATGAATCCGAATGCTTTCCGACATGCCGCCACATGGCCAATGAACCTCCGAAAGACGCCCCCGAGAGGCCAAAACCCATCAAACAGTATTATCCAAATAGGTTTGCCCTATAGGAGACCTAGCCCAAACCCTACTAATTGGCCCCCTGCCCCCCCATAGTTCCGATGCCCCCCCAAATCCCTATGCCTATGCTTATGCCTATGCATATCCCCCCGCGTTTCCAATGGCACCCCCCTTATGTATGTTTGCTTGCGAGCTTGCTTGCTTGCTTGCTTGTTTGCTTGCTTGCTTGCTTGCTTGCTTGCTTGCGTGCGCGCTTGCTTGCGCGTTTGCGCGTTTGTTTGCGTGCTTGCTTGATTGCGTGTTTGTTTGTTTGCTTGCCTGATTGCTTGCGTGTTTGCTTGTTTGCTTGATTGCTTGCGACCTTGCGCGTTTGCTTGCGCGCTTGCACGCTTGCTTGCTTGATTGTGTGATTGCTTGATTGATTGTTTGCTTGCGCGCTTGATTGCACGCTCGTTTGCTTGCTGAGTTGCGGAATCCAAGCATGCTTAATTCCTCTTTTTCCATGATTTGGGTCGTCCATTCTATTTGGAACCAACGCTTGATGATGTTGTTTGATATGCATACACTGGTTCGAGATGTCGTTTCCGATCGGTTTTTGAACCCGCAAAATGGCTCGAAGCTCGAGCAAAAGAACCCTGAGAAGGGCCCAGGAAAGTCTCCAATATGGTTCCGCATATTCCCAATAGCGCCCAATGAAACCTTCAAGCGGCGATTTGTTCGTGTTCCGACTGCGTTGGGAGGTTTACCGAAGCCCCGCCAACCCGAGCTCTCAACAAATGAGAAGCAGGGCAAAGCTGGTCCCGTCAGCTATCTGGGCGACATGGTTTCGAGAGATCATAATTTCGACCCTCTGCTTTCTTTCCGCCCGACGGTGGACAACACCCACCTACGGCGTAGCGGAGCCTCCTAGGGTCCTCTCGCGACCCGCTTGGAGCGCCCCGGGGGAAAACATATTGGAGGACAACTGGGGGGGCTTGGAGTAATGTCAGCTTGTGATCAACAAATCCATGGGGGCGCGCGTTTTTTATTTATATATATATATATGTTTATATATATATATATATGTGAACAAAAAAAATCCTGCTCGGGCGAATCGCGAGAAGCGTTCGCCAGATTGAAAAAAATGGCGGCGGCGCCGGTGATTAGCGCCGACGCCCAGCCGCGAGCGGGAAAGCGACAGACAGCACAGACTGGGGAATGGGGGGGGGGGCGGGAGGCAAAGGCGGCAGAAGCACGGACCATGAGCCAGGGCAACACCTGTTCGAAATGAAGAAGAACTGCTTTCCGCGCTCGCCCCGCACTTTCCGTGCTTTTTCTTGTCGAAGGGATGCGTTTCCGATGCCCTGGCCGCAGCCAGGAGGGCGCCAGCTGCCTCGCGGGCCCGCGAGAAAGGCGGGCTGGACGAAAGGGGGGCCCAGCAGCTCACATTGTTGATTTTCCGAGCGCCCCCTGGAACTGGAAGCGGCCATGCATCGAGGACTGGCCCTTCGGCGGGGCAACAGAAACCAGCTGCGCGCAGCAGGTTTCGCACCCCACCCTTTCCTTCCCCAGCCTTTCGTCCGACCCGAGCAAGGCTGGCAGTCCTCCTCTCCCCATGTGTCGTGGTCTCTGTAGTCGTCGACGTCGTCGACGACGACGACAAAGACGAGGACGAGGACGAGGACGAGAACGAGGACGAGAACGAGGAGGACGAGGACGAGGACGACGGACGGCAGACGGCGACGGAGGCGGCGACGACGACGACGCACTGCGGATGCCCTATGGGGGGGGTGCGCAGGCCCGCTGTGCTCGACGACGACGACGAAGACGACGACGACGACGACCAGGACGACGAAGAAGACGACGACGACAACGACGACGACGACGACTGCGACGACGGCGGCGACGACGACGGCGACGACGACGCCTGAGAGGGGAAAAAATGCGCCTCGGACGTGTACGACCCCGGGTGGGGGCGAGGCGAGCGCGCGATGTCGGTCCGGTGGGACCGGGCAGCGCGGCGGGGCCGGAGCCCTCAGTAGTCGAGGAAGTGGGAAAGTGAGCGTCGGGTGTGAGTGTGGATGGAAGTCGAGAGGTGCATACTCTCGGGAGGATACACGATCCCCTCGGCGGCGCCAGCGACGACCCCCATGGAGCGCGTGAGCGAAACAAAATGTTCCACGCCACGCGGAGGCGATTCGTCACCCCCAGGGGGGGGTGGTAGCCATGTTGAAGGGGCCCTGGGACACACAAATAAATAGACGCAAATCAAAAGATTCCCCATATTTTGCCATATGCTCTGGGTTTTCTTTTGCCCCCCACTTCCCATACTTTCCCATATTTTCCTGGGGATCGACGATTAATTCGCCAGCCCAGCGGGCCAGAGGCGTGCTAAGATCTCCGGTAACTGCTAAATAATACTTCTACTTCGCGCGCGCGGGGCGGCCCCTGGGCGTCCCCGGACGAAAAGTACCCCGGGCGATCCCCGGCAGGGTCGGATCAGAGATGGTGTTCCTCCTGGGCGCCGCCCCCGTGCCCCTCCAGAGAGCCCCAAGAAGGGCCACGAGGCCGCCAAGAGCCCTCCAAGATGGTTCAAGAGTGCTCCGAGATGCCACACGATCGTTCCAAGACGCCCAAGATGGCCCCCAGACGCCCCAAGAGGCCTCCAAGAGCACTCCCCAGAGGGCCCCAAGAGGCAAAATTCCTTACTTTTCCTTAGGTTTTGGGCAGATTTTGGCGTGTCCATCTTTTCGGCTTCCCGACGCCCCAAGACGGCCCAAGAGGCCCCCAAGATCGCCCCAAGAGGGCCCAAGAAGCTCCCAAGAAGGCCCCAAGATGGCCCAAGAGGGCTCCAAGACGGCCCCAGAGGCATCCAAGACGGCCCAAGAGGGGCCCAAGAGGGCCCCAAGCGATGCCCCAAAGGGGGAACACAAAACAAAACTTCGAGCCCTCGGCCTTAAGAAGCCCCCAGGAGGCCTCAAGAGGCCCCTGAGAGGCCCCAAAAGCCCCCAAGAGGCCCTCAGGAGGCCCCCAAGCGACGCTGAAGAGGCCCCCCAGCGGCCCCAAGAGGCTCAGTCATGCGAAATGGGCCGGCGGAATGAGCGAAGCGATTCAATAGTATGTTTTTCCCCCTCCTGACATTTGTGAATCACAAGCTAGCATTACCTTTGGGACCTATGACGGGGCCACTTCGGCGCCGAAGACGCTGGACCCGGCTGGCCTTTCCGAGATCTGGACGGGCTCGCTTGGGCCCATCCTGGGACCATCGTGGCATCATCTGGGACCGTCCTGGGTCCCTCCTGGGCCCGTCTTGGGGCTCTCGGGGGATTCTCTCGAGGCCAACTTGAGGCCTCAAGAGGTCTTCAGGGGCGAAAAGGCGAGAGGACACAGGTCATGGTTCCCACATGGTTAAATGTTGTTGGCCTCTCGGGGGTCCTCCTGGGGCGTCTCGGGACCCTTGGGCCGATCTGGAGGATGTCGTGGCGTGTCTTGCCATGCCTTATCCTATCTTGTCTTCTTATCTTGTCGCGTCGCCTTGTCTTGTCCAGTCTCGTCTTGTAGTCACCTGTTTTCGCTGATCGAGCACAGAACGGCGCGAGAGCATGTCTCCGATTGGCACAATCTCTGTAAGTCCAACACCACACGGAGTAAAAACGCGCCTCTGGTGAGTGCCACCTTGTGCTTGAGAGGGAGTGCACGCGACCAGCAAGTTAACACCTTGCCACTATTCTCTTCACGGCACGAACCCTCCCCAATCGCACCGTAGAGAATCACCCCTGACCAAATTGCCCAGATTGAGAGCCATCTTTGCGGCACCTCGTCGTGCAACGCGGGAGCGAGCGAGCCTACTTGCTGCATGTCGTTCGCCTCTGTGCGAAGGAGGGGAATACATCAACTGTCGCTGCGTGCTGCTTGAGGCTGAACGTCTGGCCTCGCTCTTTCGCTGGCCTCTCTCTCTGACGCGCCCTCGGGACCCACCCCACTGCAGCATTCCGAGAAACAAAACCGTGCGTGCAGGCTTGCAGCGCGGTGCATGTCGAGCTCGCGAATTCAAGATATAATTTTAATGTATTTATACTCCGCGCGGGGGTCCTGCTTCAGGAAGCCCTCACACAAAACCGTCAGCTCAAATCGGGGAATATAGCGCCTGACTTGTGAGGCAAACCACTCAGGAGCCCAGACTGGACCTCCTTCCCCGCCTTAGAGGGGCATGGTCCTCGACACGGGTCTCCGCATGCTCCTTTCAATATACGGTATACGGTGAAGCTGCACAAAAAAAGAGGCCCCCCAGAAGCGTGACTGCATGATGAAAAGAAAGACCCCCACACCACCCACAGCTCCCCCACCCCCATACTCCACCCTTGACTCCAAGGGCGCGCCTCAGTCAAAGCCCTCTGGGACAATCGCGAGAAACGGGGTGAACAACGCTACCGATGGCATGACAAGCGCGCCGACCGCCAAGAGCACCGACACGATATCGTACAACCTGAGGACCACTCTGCCTGTCCTGCCGACGTCCTGAGGATCGTACTCCGATTGCTCGTCGCACACCGTGCTCATGCGATAGATCTTGTCTCGCTGCACCATCTCCCGGTAGATCCATCCCAGGCGCAGGCCATCCCAGTCGTCCTGGCTGACGAAGCCGAGGTCACCGTCGACATCGTCGAGGTTGTAGAGGAAGAGAAGACCTAGAGCATCGAAGAGCACATTCCTTGGACTGAAGCTGGCACCCAGAATCGTGAAGGAGGCTATGCAGGTCAACAGGATGACCCATGTATTGGTGAAGGCGTCCAACACCAGAAAATACTCGCACCTCGAGTCCATGATTCCTGTGTGGTATTTCAGGTAGCGGAACGTCTTGTATATCTTCGCCCACGAATGCTTCTCCTGGAGGATCGTGTACAGACCATTGATAGAAAAGACGAATAAGAACAGTGTGGACAACATCTTAGTCGTCCTTATATGGAACCAATCTGAAAAAGATGGCTTCCACTCGTCCCAATGGATTCCGCCATCTTTGTGATTCTGTGCCACGTCCCCCCATCGAAAATAGACGCTGGCGATGAGGAGAGGAGGGCCACTGATCTGGATCAGGAAGATGGTGATGAAACCCATTAACCGGACCAGCCTCATGACAATGACAGACGGGTCCGCGTCCCAAACGCAAACTTTATCCGTCAGCGTGCCGAGAGCTGCGATGCGGTAGATATTTCCTGGTAGCTCATCAACGTCGCGAAGCCAGTCTTCTTCGATCTCTGCTTCAGCAATTTCGAACATGGAGCCGATGCTGTCGGCCTCAAGGATGCTGGTCTTGGCGTTACCCTGGCCCCTAGCATTTCCATCATGCCCGTGGGACTCCGATGACAACCTCGGTCGCCTCGAATGGTTCGACCGCACGGACGGCTGTGGTGAATCGGACGCCTCGTCATCGGATTTCTGGTCCCCGATCAGGCCCACCTTGGACGCCCGAAATGGGTTCGGAAAAATGGGTGCGATGCCCAACAACAAATAGTGTCCAAAACCGACAGCGGACGCTGTTGGGTGTCCGGCCTTCTGTCTCAAATGGGCAAAGCCCGCGGCGGCGCCGCCAGCGAACGCTGTTGAAAATGGGCAAGAACTGATTGTGGTCTTCGTACGTAAAACTATCGCTGCCAGCATCCATCCCCGTGACCCAAAAGGGGGTCCAGCTGAAAGGGGCTGGTGCAATAGCTTTGGGGCCATCGTACTGCACATGTATTGCGCCAGAGACTTGTCTCGCATTGTGCAGCAACCGACGCACCGCACACGAAAATCCGGCACAATGAAAATCTGAGCACCGGTACTGCACGCCCCAGATCGACTGCAAGCCCACAAAATCTACTGCACCAAATCTGCTGCACCACCCCCCTTGCCGCCGGACCCCCTTTGGGGTCCACCCGCACCCACTTGGCGGCGCGCACAAAGGGGTGGGGGGAGGGGGGAGGGCTTCATAGAAGCAGGCTGCTTCTTAGAAGGCGCCGGCCTTACATCTATAGATAAGGCCCGCGCCTTCTAAGAAGCAGGGGTGCTTCGAGGCGTCTGACCCACCGCCCCGTGCCGCGCCTCGCCCTGCAGCAGCCGCGCCGGCCGGCCCGCCGCCTCCCCGGCGGCGGCCCCACGGGCCACCTCCCGCAGCCGGCGCGACGCCGCCTTCGGGAGGCCTCCCCGGCCGGGGTCGAAGCAGATATTAACGAGGAGGGGCAGCCTTCCTAAAGGGTACTCCGGATTTCACAATATAGAAGGGGGGTGGTCCGATTTGGGATGGGGTCAGATTTGAGCTGTCCTGGAGGGTTCCAGTGGGTCTGGGCAGAAGACCGCCCTTCATGGCTTGCTTGGGGGGATCTGGAATTGCCCGTCTGCGAGGGTTGTGACCCCCTCCCCAGAGCGTGAATTACCTCCCCCGCTTTCGCTTCCAGGCAAAACCAAGCCATACCACGCGCCTCCTCGTCAAGCGGCCTGACCAGTACAGGCCGCAATTTGGCATCGTTTGGTATCTCTTGGAAGCGAGGGTGGTCAAAAGCGAGGTAGGTTTGTTTTCCCCCGATTTATGGCGAAATTTGGGGCACCCCTGCATCCTTGCCCCATGCGGCCCGGCCTTGGCCGCACTCGCTGGCTGGACCCGCTCGAGGAACGCTCACACGGGCCTCCAGGGCCCCTGCATCCTCACCGCAGCCTGGAACATATCCTTATCCCTATGCTGGGCACCTCCCCATCACGATGCCGATCTTGGGGATTCCCTTCTTTTTTGAGGGCGAATCCCTAAGATTGTCATCGCCTTTTGGCGTGTCAATCTTGGGGATAGGGATACGCTCGAGGCTGGTAAGATACGGGCTGACTGTAGACGAGGCCCAAGGCCCGCGCCGCATCGCCGAGGCATCGGCGATGCGGCGATGCCTCGGCGACGCATCGGCCACGCCGGCGTGGAGCAGAGCGGGCTCCACAGAAGCGCGCCGCCCGGCGTGAGCCTCTGGCCCCACCCGCTCCCCGGCCCTGTCGGAGGAGGCCCCGAGCCTCGGCACGCTGCTGGCGCCGCCGCCGCGGCTTCGCCGCCGGGCCTCCCGCGCCCGCCAGCAGCCGGCGGAGCAGCCGCACCATCTCGCGGCCTGAAGGCCCCCGAGGGCGGGAGGGCTGCGCGCGGTCACCGCGAGGGGCGTCGGGCAGTGCTCGCGCTGTCGAGCCAGCCGGCGCCAGCTCGAGTCAAAGAGGAGGGCACCTGCGGAGGGCACTTGCGGAGAGCACACAGCTACACAACTTCGCACAGTCGACCCCGATCCACCACTCTGGAGCCACGTAATCTGGAGCCCAGCTCGTGGGTATACGATTGGGCGGGCGTCCAGCCTCGATATGGGTGCGTCCGAACAGCTCCACGCGACTTGTCTTCTGGGGGGGGGGGCAAAGTCAGGGAATTGGGGGACGAACCGTCCAGTCGGACACAGGCCCGAAGGACACCCCCCGAGAGCATGAGGCCCTCCGTCGGCCAGGACACACAGAACATCCCAAAGGCACCCTGCCCGGGATGCACAAGGGCATCCCGCAAGCACGACGAGCACTGGGGTGCCCTCCCCGAACCGACCTGGACCTGTGTACCTCGGTCCGAGGTCTTGAAGAAGGAACCCTTTTCGTTGGGGAGGGGCTCCGTGTTCCTTGATTGTTTCACAGCTTCCCTTAGGTTTTCCCCAGGTTTTCGATGGGGAATCGAAGTTTAATTTCTGAAGAAACGGGGCCTCGTTCCTTATTTAGGGTTCCTTAGGTCAGCGCCCCGACTGTAGTCGTGTTGGGCCGTCTTGAGGCACCTTGGGCCGTCTTGGAGGGAGGGGCACGCCGGTCGCATGGCCAGCTGTCGATCGGAGGGGACCGCCCGCCTTCTTACGGAGGAGAAGCTGGAGACCCCCCCGCCCCGCGATACATTGGAGCGTGCGTGCAAGATGGCCCAAGATTGCTCCAAGGTGGCTCCAGGTCGGCCTAGGTGATCTCCAAGATGGAACAAGATAGTCCGAGATATCTCAAGACGGCTCCCAGCATGCCTCCTGGAGGCTCTAAAACCGCTCCGCGACGGTTCCTAGCGGTCACAGAACCTCCCAAAGATACCCCGTAATCCTTGCAACATCTATGGTGCCTCCCGGGGCCCCGTCAAAAACGACTTGGGGTTAGAGACCGATCCTGGTGAAGGGGTCCAGACCACTGGCAGGCGAGCCCAGAATCGAAACGATGAGTCGGATCGGCGATCGGAAGGAATCGGATCGGCGGAAATCGGCAGGCCAATGGGCCTTCGTCGAGCATCGGAATCTGGATCCGAATCCGAAATCGAACCGTGTGGGAATCGAGAGCCGCCAAAGTCCAATCGAACCGAATCGGAGGAGTCGACACGAGCCTTGCTCTGAGGCCCTGGGGCCTGGGGGTCCCCGTCGTGCAAAGAACATGACGCGGGGGGTCTGGGTCCGGCCCAGGGGGTACAACGCCTAAGAGCAACTGCTGTCCAAAACCGACAGCGGCCGCCGTTGGGCAGGCGGCTCTCTGCCCTCAGTGAACAACGTCCGTGGCGGCACGGACAGCAGCTCCTGTTACAAATGAGCAGGAGCTGCTGTTGGACATCGTATCCATCGGACGGAGGAAGCAGGTAAAACCATGAAGTAGGAAGGCGCTGGAAGCAGCTTGGGGGTCCGCCCGCCCCCTGAAGAGGACGGACAAAAAGGGTGAAGCCACTCGATCATTGAAGTAGGAAGGCGCTGGACGTGGATTGGAATCTGGGACTCCAAACATACCTACTTTCAACGACCGATGGGCACCCACTCTCCCCGTACCCACCACGATCGCCCCGACCAGGAGGAGCTCCGGAGCCCTCCGGAGCGGCCTCCGCAGCCCGGGAGGCCTCCGGAGACGGCAGGGTGCACGTGCGGAAGCCGAGCGCCGGAGACCCACGGAGCGAAGCAGCGGCGCTTCTGGCCCCCTCGGGGCCCCCTGCGCGCTCCCTGGGGGCCTACGAAGGGCCTCCCGGGGGCCTCTGAATGGCCTCTTGGAAGCCTCCTGGAAGCCTCTTGGAAGCATCTTGGAAGCCTCTTGGGGGCCCCTGGGGGGGCCTAGCAAGGCCTTCTTGTACCTCGGAGGCCGTCGTTGGCGGCCTCACTGGGCCGTCCTGGGGCCCTCGTTCTGAACACGCATCGCCCCGCGTCCCTCCCTCCTCCTCCCATTCCTATCCTCCCTACTCCTGCTCTCTCCACGAGGTCATTTCGGCACACCCCTCTCAGGGTTCGTGGCCCAATGGGGAGATCCACCGAAGGCCCCAGTGGCAGGAGCCGCATGGCAGCCGCCCCCTCGTTTCGGCATGCTCCTCACACGCTTTGTGGCCCCCACAGGGAGCTCCACCGAAGGCACCCGTGGCAGGAATCGCATGCGTGACCGCGCCCATGTCGGCAAACCCCTCACACGGTTCTCGTGGCTAGGGAGCTCCACCGAAGGTCCCAGTGGCAGGAGTCGCATGGCGGCCGCCCCCTCGTTTTGACACACCCCTCAAACGCTTCGTGGCCTCATAAGTAGCTCCCACCTCCTTCGTCCCACCTGCCTTGCGGCACTCACACTTGAATATGGCTGGGTACGTCGCCAACATAATTTGGCTCTGGAGTCTGCCACGGATCATCAGATGACACGCGGTCGATGTAGCAGGCATGGCACTTGGGCACTCCAATCGACCAGGGGATTTACTCGGTCCCGTCCGCGCCCAGATTGTCGCAGGCAGACAGGCCGCTTCGGGGGGGGGGGGGCAGACGCGTGTTAGCATAGACGAATGATCATAACGATGTAGCAGACACGGCACCTGGACCACCCAAAGTGTTCCACGTGACCGTTAGAAAACAGATTACCAGCACCTCGCAGGTTGGAAGGCCACTTGGGGGGGTGGACGTATATATTCTCGTAGACCAAGGACCGTCGCAATGTCGCAGGCAAGGCACTTGGGCACTCCAGGGGAAGGCCGACCAAGGGTATTCCACGCGCACGTTCGCGCCCAGATTGCCGGGACCTATCAGGTGGCATGGCTGTGTCGGGGGACGGGTACGTAAGCAGGTTTAGCTTGAATGCCCAAAGATCATCGCGATGAAGCAGGCATGGCACTTGACACCTTAGGGAGAGGTCGACCAAGGCTGTCCCACAGGCCTGGCCGCGCACACCTTGTCGGGACCTCTCGAGTCGAATGGCCATTCTGAGGGGTAGATCCTCGTCGTTGTCGTCGTAGCCCTCGTCCTACTGAAATGCTGGACGCCTCCTAATGGGGTCGAAGTAGATGGGGTCGGAGGATCGCGTCGCATCGCCGATACATCGGCGATGCATCGGCGACGTGGGTGATGTATCGGCGACATCGGCGTGGAGGAAATCGGGCTCCACATCGAGCCGCATCGCGGATGCATCGGCGATGCGGCGCGATCCTCCGACCCCCTCTGCTCGGACCCCACCTGGGAGGCCTAGAAGTAGGTCGGGCATGTCCTCCTACCTCCTGCACACTCTCCGAAATGCTTAAGAAATCATGGATTAAGAAACTCATAGTCTCAGAATTTGAATAAAAACCCAGCATTTCTACTGAAATCTTAGGATTTACATTGAAACATTAAGAATCATCGAGACTCCGGCCGAAAACCTAAGTTTTCTTAAGCATCGCCTAGGGTGTAGGGGAACAGGCCCGACTTAGCCTAGCAATACGCTCGACATCGGGACCAGGACCCGTTTCTGGGGTCTGCGCAGGCCGGTTTTTTTTTTTTTCCGGGCCGGGCCCGGCCGCGGCGGGGAAGGCCTCCACAGGCGGCGCGCCCCGAGCCCTCCGACACGCCGCGCACGGCGTCGGCGCTCCGCCGGGGCCGCCGCCGTCGTCGCCTGGCCTGGGCATCTGGCTGGTTCGGGAGCGGCCAAGAGGGGGGTCTCCAAGAGGGGGGGGTGCAAATCATGACCGGCGGCACGTGCGCGGCCCAGCGGGGGGGCCAGGGACGTCATGAAATAAGAAGAGGCGCCATGAAATCTGGGGAAAGATCATGGCCCACGCCATGATGTCCACCCCCCCCTAGTCATCACCACCCTCTTTTCCGCCTCCGACTGGTGCGCGGGCGGCCGCAGCCCTTCCTCAACCGTCGTCGTGTCAAGCAGCGGCGAAGCGTCCTGGCTCGCCT